AAACATACAGCAATCCTGATGAAACAGTACCTCATTAACTTCAAACATACCTCTGAAAGCATGCAAAGGATGAAGCTGCTGAGAAAATATGGAAATATGTCTCTTTAATTAATTGCCACTTATCTGGCAAAATGCTACCAAAGTATATACTTGATTTGCTTTCCGTCCTTCACAATGACAGACCAGTGATAAGACTGGCCTAGAACGATTGTGGTATGACTTTAATTTTCTGGATAGTGGTAATAACCAACATCCTTAAAAGACACAAAAATGAGATTAGGGGCACGCGGCAGCTTCTTTGCTATATTTGCAAGCATCGGCCAACACGTGATATAGTGTGACAGCCTTGGTGACCTTGGATTGAATCTGACTTCCAATGTTTAATCCTCTTAGCGATTTGAACCATCATATGCGCCATTGACTGTCCTCCAACTATATCCGTGTAGTAGTGAGGCCCAGGGACAGTAAGCATCCTGGAGAATTTTGCCATCAGAATGAGATCTGAAGCCTCAAACAGCATTCTGCCCAGATGCCCAGCTATGGAAATCCTGAGATCACTGAGAAAGCTCCTGTTGACATTGCCTGGCTCTGAAATGTATGAGTGTTTTTATAGGCCTGTATCTAGCTGCAAACACCTATGCCACTGGCTATGCAAAAATGTGTCCTTCCAGGTTATAGTAACTCCTGTTTGTGCACAATGAATAAACAGGGGTCTGAAATCCTTTTGTATGCCAAACTATTCATGAGGACTTCAAATGTAAAATATGTGTAACGCTAATGTGTCTCATTATCTCTGAGAACAAAGGAGTAATTTCTCATGTGACACAGCTGGAATTTTAGTCGATGTAAAACAGAAAATTCTACATTACAGTTGTGGGATAAAACTGTTTGGTATTATTATAGCCTACATAAATCTTACTAATTATCACAGCCCAGTCCTCAGAAACAAAAAAACCCTTCTTCTTCCTTTTCTTCCAAGTCTGTCCTTAGTTAATTTCTTCTCTTGCCTAGACAAAGTGAAGCCTAGATTAAACTAATAGGACAGCACTGCCACTATACATGTTCATTGGTCAGTCTTTGCAAAACCAAACTTGCATTATTGCTGCCCTTTCAGTGTTCCTAACCACTTGCTTGGCTGTTACCACCAGCCCTGTTTTGAAATAGGTCTATATTTTAATGTCTTTGAGCTTCTAATGAAATGGAAGTAATAAATACACTAGTATCAACCACATCACTGCTTTATTTTTTTTTCCAATGGCAAAATAATATCTACCTAGTAAAAGGAGAAAGTTATATGCAGAATACATGAATATGCTTACAGTCTTAATCCTATAATGAGTAAATTCTGTTCCTGAGTTCAGTATTCAGAGAGATCCTGAATTTAGACAAGCTCAGTAAAATAAGATGCTTGCAGGAGAAAAGCATAATGAAAGTTTACCAACAGCTAAATTAACCATTAACCACTGTCAATGCCTGTAGCTCACTATGTTTTATCAACGTCTACAGCTGTGTGTAAGTACTGCTGAAAGCCGTATTTAAAGATTAGCCTGATCAGTATGCACAGGATGAATTATTACCCTAAGTGATAATCGACAGTCCTAAAAAGGAAACTATTTTCCGGGTTTTATCCTTACAGTGTTAAGATATGTAAATACATTTTATCATTTGAACCGGCAAAAATATTTCCCTGGCTTCCTCATTCTCGCTTCAATTTAAGGTCACTACTGCTTGAAGTAAGATCAGTAGTAATAAAACACTGAATTGTGTTTGTAAGTGAAGCAATGCAGAGAAGATTTACAATAAAATTGGTAAAAATTAAATATGAATACAATCAGCTGTGAAAAAACATCTGCCGGAAAATTTATTAATATTAATTACAAAGGAGAACAATTATTTACAGAAAAGAAGCAGGAAATTATTAAGGGCCATCAAGAAGAAATTATGTACATTTCATTTATGTGATTTTAATTTTATAAACTGGAAAATCCCTTTTAATTAATTCTGCTGTCAAATACCTTTAATTTGGATTAATATAACTTGACAATCTGGGTACAGTAGTTTAACCATTAAAAATTAGCCACATAATTGAGAACTTAGTGCAGTTATTGAAATGTTTGTTATATCTCAGAGACCTTAAAAAGATGAAAAGATTGACCTGAAATTCCAAATAAAATATTCTCCAGACAAAGTAAAAAATCACATCTGGAAACAAAAGGTTTCCATTCTAACTTGTTAAAGACTTAGTAGCGTATAGTCAATGTTAGAGTCATGCCTAGAAAACATATTAACTGGGGAGTGCATATTTTATGATGATCGCTGCCAGATCCAGTAACCAAAATGCCAACTCATACTCGGTTGACAGCCAAGGCAGCAGCAGGAGTAGGTGACATTGCCCTCTGCTTTCTCTGCTGCTGGAATCTTGCTATCCCAACTGAGATTTCACGGGGCTGCAGGAGGGAGTGGGTCCTCTGCCCTTCACTGCTGCCCCAGAAAATAGCAAAAATCTTTTGTGCCTGCAGCTTATGGTGGGACACAAACCTGATTTTCCACCATAGTTGTCAGAACACTAATTTACAGCTCTGTGTACATCACAAAAGAAAGAGATGGATATATCAAACAGGCATACGGAACCCAAAGAAACTGAGGGAAAAAAATCATAAAAACAACAGTAATGATAATCAGAAAGGATATGCAGGCAAAATGTGTGTATGAAAAGAAATATCTAGGTAAAAAATATATCAGTAAGTCTTTTATTTAACCCCATGGTAACTTCAGAGCTTGTATATGAGCTAGACTACTTTGTGATAAAAGAGAGGAAAAAGCAATTACAACATAAACATATAATTTTAGCTTCTCTAAAAGATATCTTAAGTAGTCATCGCTCATTATAAAATTGAACTGTCATATCTTGTAATGACTTAGAGAATTCAAACTAGAAACATCTCAGTGTTAGAGCACTTTACAAGTTTGATTTTCTTTGAAGTATGTTTGAGTTTAATTAGAACAGAATCTTCAAAGAGCTTACCATTTGACTACCTATTGTGAAAAAAGGCTAAAGGGTGGCTGTGCACCATCAATTTATAATCTTTGTCTGGAAAATCCCTGGGACTTCCTGGTTGCAATTCTTGTCAGTGGAATAGAAATGTGGGAACAAAGCTGCTAAACATCCAACAGCTACCCCACAAAAAGGGTGGACTTAAATTCTTATCCATTATTCCAGGATAATTTTTGCGATTTTCCCTTGTCACTTCTTTCCAACCTATTTATTTCCAGATCATTTTGACTGAATGTCTACAAAATCCTGCTTACACATTTGTCACAGTCACCCTCTAATAGCAGCATGCCACTACTTGTAAGTCCTACTAGTATTAATAAGACATGAGTATGTCATTGAATTATTGTTAGTGTCTCATGGTTAGACCCCTGTAAGAAATACGTTCTGAAAATGTTGACACGAAGAAGGTGATATTCCAGTCTCTTGTCATATTTTCACATTCTGCATTGAATTTACCAAATAAAATTTAACTGAACAACCTCTAGAATAAGGTAAGATCAACATTCAGATAGTCACGGTTTCACAAAGAGAAAAAAATAATATATCAACACACAGCAGTTCAAAATCATCAACACAAGGTGCAATGTAAATAAATCAGGGTCACTGGTTCATATCTATGTCTGAAATATTACATGAAAATGCAGAGGTTAGTGTTTAAGAGTAACAGAGGCGCCGCAAGGAAATTAAGTTCTCAGTGCTGTTTTTTTTTGCTGTTTCCCTGATCTTGTCACGTAATTTTACAACACATTTTGTCTTGAAATTTTAAAGATGTTCACTGTGCGTCACATGAAGACTGGATGGTAATAAATCGCTGCTGCCATTTTTTTTTAAAGGACCTACACTATGACTGTCAGTTTATTCTACTTTTTGTGATTTAGAGGGGACTCATGAAAGAAGAAGAAACTGGATCTTTGTCAAAATATGCCTTCCTGTTAGCTTTTTCTGTGTTATTTCCAAATTATGTAAAATATTTCTGTCATCTTGCATCTACCCAATGTTTCAGAGGAAAGTCTGGAAAAACTTTCCAAACATCAAATGCTTCTGAATCTAAATAAAAGCATAAAGCTGAACAGATACCATCAAAATCAAGACAATCTTAATTTCACTGTTCAGAATATCCAGACCTGAAAATGGGGAACAGAACCAAGTATTCTATACCGTGCTTTATAACTAAAATGTTATAAGATTTTATAAAAATTCCCTGACAGCTCAGACATACAAGTTTCTGGTTATTTTTATTATTTTTACCTTGTCAGAACTAAAATATAGGTTACAAAACTATTCTTCCTAATCAAAATAGCAAGAATGTATATAAAATGTAGTTTCAAGTTAAAATAACAGTGTCCCAGAAGTTTGGTTACATAAGACAATTTGCAGCAGACACACCTGTATGTTAAACTTGCCTGAAGTATAAATAACAATGGCTTTCTCACTGACTGTGCAAGACTTTGTAACGTAGCTCCTTTTTCAAATGCTGCATGCTTTTTCATATCTGCAAAACAGGTGCTATAGCCCTTTGTCAGATTATGAAACCTACTACTGTCAGAACTAAAATAAGAACCAGCAGTGTTATTCATTTTCACGTTTTAGCTGAAAACCAGTAATGTTCAGAAATACTGAAACACATATTTCAGCATTTTCCAATCTATTTTGACCTACATGACTCTCCCAGTTGTGAAATCTATGCTGGCTGACATCCCTTCTGCCCCTCAATTGCATTAACACATGCCCATATTACAAACAGAAATAAAATATTAATTCCTTTTCATGTCACCCCTTTGACGTATCTTGCATATCTCTGTCCTCTACCACAACATTCTAATTGCCATAGTAGCATACCTTCCAGTTTGGGGAACACTACCAAACTCTAATGCAGCTTACATTGCACAGCAAACAAGCCTGATTTAAAAACAAATTCAAAGCAAAGTAGTTTCTTTTTACTCACAAGAGGTTCTGCCATGATGATGCGAATCTTGCGTTCAGCCTGAGTAGTAAAGTTAACGAACAAGCTCTTCAGGACATATTCGCCTGGTTTACTGTCTGGGTCAACACTGATAGGTAACATGGCTGGAGGCCCTTTTTCTCTCTGTGTACCAGCAACAGGTGGAACAGGTGGCTTGATATATCCGTTACCAACTGGAGAAGCTGAAATGTAGAAAAAACACATTTACTTTTGGGCAATTCAACACGTCTTAACTTTTCCAGAGCACCCCAATGGCCCACTATACTGTCAAAACAAAATTGGAGACTAGTTGATAATCAAAGAAACACACAACACAGAAATATAATTTCCATGGCACAGTTATAAGTAGAATGTACATAATCTAGACTTGAAGAAGAAATCAAAGATGAAATCTTATGTATTAAAATTGAGTAGTGTTTACTATGCAGTGCACATTCAATCCTGGTTTTTTACATGGTAAGACTTGCTGATGTCTAACTCTTCGATTAACATCCTCATTTATATCCTTTGTCTTGCAGGCCAGATCTGTAATCCAGCTGTCAAGTAACAAATTTATTCTTTATTGCTATTCAAACTGACCTATCGTTGCAAAAGTCAGGAGTGTGGTCTTTTGACTACGGTGAGTTGTAAAGGGCCTGATTTTCCTCTCATTTATATTGAGATCAATCAAGAATGACTCTTTTAAAAACAATGACATTTCACCACTATAAATTTTATGTGAAGAATTGGACAATAAATGTTTTTCAGGCCAAAAAAATGTTCATTATATATTAATTTTCCTGAAAGTACCAAACCCTATAGACCCCTTTGGCATTTGTGAGATCACATTAGGAGTACTGTGTCCAGTTTTGGGCTCCCTCACACAAGAATGACATTGCTATTCTGGAGCAAGGCCAAGGGAGGATCACAAAGATGGTCAGGGGCTTATGTGCTTGCTACACGGGTACAGGCTGAGAGTGCTGGATTGGTGTAACCTTAAGAAGAGAAGGCTAAGGGGAAATTTTATTGCAGCCTTCAGCTACCTAACGGAGTACAGCAAAGATGGAGCCAGACTCTCAGCACAGTGACAGGATGAGAGGCAACAGACACTAGTTGGAATGTGGAAAATTCCAATTAGATATATGGAAAAAAATTTCCACTATGAAGGGGTGATCAAACACTGGTACAGGTTGTCCAAAGATATAGTTGAAATTCCAGTCTTGGAGATACTCGAAACTTGGCTGGACAAGGCCCTGAGAAACCTTCTCTAGTTGGTGAGCAGAGATTGGACTAATCCTCCAGAGATCCCTTCCAATCTGAATTATCCTGTGATTCTATGAACTCCCCATAACCACTATCAAGATATTATGTACTAGGCTTAGTTCTACTTACTCTTTTTCTGGGAAACTGAAGGGAAAATTAATTGAAGTACTATAAACCAAAACCTCATTAATTCAAATATTACCATTCTACAAATAAACTTTCCAAAACAAAATCCTCAGGCTTAGCTCCTACTGGCAATAGAAGTCATGTCTGGTCTTCAAGCAGGTACTGGTAGCACCCTCTGTTAGCTTTGCCACAGACTTTGAAAGAGGCAAATTAAGTAACATCGGGAAGCCGAGCCATTAGCCACTCTGAATGCAATTTAAGTGTTGTAACACCCACAAGCACTGCTGGTGATTGGGCCAGAGGTGCTTTAACACAATACAAACTGAGGAAGTACTGTGAACTAATACCAACACAGCATTTCCCCATAGCATTGCATTCCAGAGTGTCACATTGTATGTTGCATCCAAGTTGCAAAGAAAGAAAAAAAGAAAGAATGAACTACAGTGATGGATGCCGCACTTCTAATGCCTTTAGCCTCTCCTTTTGAGGGACAGAATTGCAACTACTACTAAAAGTAACTGTCAACTATGAATTACATGAGATTGTTTTAAGAATAAATGAGATTTTAGATCTTTCCTAAATACTTTAACACTTCATTGCTGCAAAAAACTGAAAAAACTAAATCACAAAGATAATGGAGATTGTTCGAGTGTATTCAAGATGCAGCAGAATCAGACCCCAAATTCATGCACTGAAAAATAAAAAAGATGCATTGGAGAAAAGAGAACATGTTTTCCTCTAGAAAAATCAAAGTTTAGAAGTCCACTATGACTATAATGCAAGATAGAAAAGCTTTTGTTCATGTAGCTATTATTCTGCAAGTGTAACACATCCATACTTTACTTTGAAAATAACTCCCCTGATTGACAAGGCACGCCATCACTCTTTAGCACAGCAGCACCACTTCTTCCACTCTAATAGATCTTTCCTGGTAGATTTGTTTCCTGGAAAGTTTCACTCAACTTTTGAGTGCAAAAGCATAATCATGGAGTCTTATTGGCATTATGATTCTGCATAAAATGAAGTGTATAGAACAGTTCTACATTGATATTATAGAAAACTGTTTCTAAAATTACATTGTCGTTCTGAATAATAATCTACTTCAAAGCAACGAAAAAAAGAGACACCAGAGAAGAGTGTAAGTGCTACTGCTCTTCTGGAATCATCTAGGCTCTCCTAAAGTTTAAGCATGAAGACAGTGGGATGCAAAGGATCAGATGCAAATTTATATGGACTATCAAATATACTAGGTAATGGAAATTTCTCCACAAATAGCTTTAGGAAGGCATCAGACAATGTTTTTACAATCACTAATATATTTGCTAAATGCTTGGTTTTGACTGGCTCACATCTATCCCTGAAATCCGTTTGATTGCCAAGAGCTCAGTTAGGAAAAATGGTTTTTTGTGAGCAGTGAAACCAATTTGCTTAAGGATTTGTGTCCTTTGTGCAGTAAAGGCCCTGTCCGCCCCCCTGTCATCATCCCAAGCTCCCCCCAGTCGTTCCCAAGCTCCCTCCCCAGCTCTGCGCCCGAGGCTGGGCAGGCAGGCTGCCCCCCAGCCAGCTTCTGCCAAGCAAAACACACCCGGGCTGGGCTGTCCGCCTCTCCCTGGCCAGTGCAACCATCCCAGGCGCCCTCCTGAAGGAATCTGTAGGAATCTAATCACATGCAAACTTGTCTTCTGTTCCTTGGGCAATTTTGGTTGCCTTTTTTTTGGCTACTAAGTTGAAAATCTACTCCAAAGGGACAAGCAGAAGGGATGGAAGGAAGCAAGGAAGGCAGCGTGTGAGATCACGCACCCTCATATCCTTACGAAACTAAGTTTAAGAAACCTGGGAGCTGCCACCCTTATCTTCAATTATTGTGGCATTCAGCCAGTATTTTGAGGCTGGAATGTAAATCTACATAAGTCATTGTTAGCAAGAAGCCTTTTAAAAACGATGCTGTTAGGCTTGTGAATAGGCTGATCTAACTTTTTTTTCCCAGACATCTAACTGAAAAATCAATTATTTTCACACTGTAATACAGAAATGCCATTATTTGTGAGATTTGTCAGTGCACCAAAATTTTTCATTCTAGCTCTTCTCTGAAATATTAGGACTGTACAGCCTTTCCCTCAAAGGAAAGAAAAAGGATATCCTGGGGGTTAACACCTATTAATGCTACAGCAACTACAGCAGTTATAGAAATGGCTAAAATATGACATTGCTTTAGTTCAAATTCTTAAAGGATCATTTTGTAGCTGCTAACTCCATTTAAGCATCTTCAGTGTGGAAGTTAACATTGTCAACAGTGTGAGGGTTCTGTGTTGATCATTAGTTGGTCATGAACTATTATATACTGGTTTGGCTTTGTCATGCATCTTTTCAGTTTCATTATCTCAAGCATTTTGCATGTGCTTGGTATTTACTTTGCAAAAATCTGGCCAGTGACTATTTCACTGACATCTATACTGATGATGTAACAGAATATAGTTTGTTTTCTAGACTGAGTGCCCTACAAAAGCTCATAAGAAAAAGTTGCCTGAGACATAAAACAGGAAATCAAGGACTCAGAATTTAAGAAATACCTGCATTAAAGTAATCCATGATTGGCCACTTTATGTTGACACATTGTAATGTGAGCCTTAAAAACAGCAATAAAAAGGATGTGTCCATTTTTGCCATCTATGCCAGTGAAACACTGCCCCATTAAACAGAAGGCGTAATTTTTACGTGAGAAATCACAAAATAGGGTTTGTATGGGTTTATGCAGAAGATATCTGGTGGGGGTGGGGTGGGAGGAAGGGGTTATACTCAATCGTAAATATTTATTTCATTGATAAATTGAGTTTTTACTACTTGATTTCAAAATAGTAATGTTCTGCAAGGAGAAGTACCAGAATGGATCACTGAAACATTTTGTTTGAACTCCTCTAACATATTGTAGGATACTGGTCACCACACAAGTACTAAACTAAAACCTTCACCTACAGAAAAGTAGCTCATTCCCAAGGAGAACGAATGGCGATGCAAGAGACCAGGGTAACCCTGATGCCTAAGGGCCCTGCAATAGTAGGGAATCTATACGTAAATTTTTGAAAGTTGTATACATATTTAAAGCTCCTATCCTAGGAAAATCCATAAAAAAGTTTAACTATGCTTGATCAACTATAAGATGTCTGTACCATTCCAGGGTGAAATTCTGTCTGAGGGCTACTTCTCTCAACCCATTTTCTTGTTTTCAAGACATGTTCCCTATTTTTCTACTGTATTTGCAATAAGCTGTATTTCAAATGATACTGTTTTCCCACAGAATATTTTAACTTAGTTCAGTCTATAATCACAAGATTTTCTCAATGCTATGTATATTTTTAAAATTACAAACAAGGAGTAAATATGGAGGTAGCAATGCAATATCACATATGGTTGTCACCACAACCAGATACTATGGCCACAGAAAGGATTACTGAACTAAAACCATTGCTAATTTTTTCTCCTGAATTAATCATTTCCCTGAACATAGAAACAGTTGTAAAAAAAAAGCGGAGTAGTTTTAACACATACACACGGTCACTATGCTGATAATGGAGATGAGTACAAAATTAAAGTATCATGAGAGAGTCTCTGCTATGATTTACACTACAGGTATTTTTCTTAAAGCTCTAAGATGAAACAAACCAACAGAACAATCATAACACACAAGCCAAGAGTCTGTGCTACACTGGATACAGCTTCAGCCAAACATAGTTACTGAATTTTTAGTATATTTAAGCAGAAGAAACAGAGATCACCTTTTTTTAGTTAACTGTGTCAAATTTATATTTCAGCAACA